GAGGACGAGAGATCCTGCGCGGAGGGTGTGCAGAGAAAACAAGAACCCCACTTAGGATGTGGGGAAAATATACATCCGTACATACATACCTAGATCGAGAGAGCGATAACTAAAGGAAGAGAGAGGCAGACACACACAGACAGAGCGAGAGAGCTAGCAAGGGAGCGATACAGACAGAGAGAGGGGGAGAAAGAGCGAAGGAGAGAGAGAGAGAGAGAGAGAGAGCGAGAGATACTGATATCTTTGTCTATGTTTAGAGAGAGAGGTACATACATATAGATGTATACATACATACATACATACATACATACATATACACATATATATATATATATGTATAAATATGTATGTGTATATATACAGAGTGAGAGGGAGGAAACGGTAGAGAGAAGCAGATGGCGCGACATGCAGATCACAAGCAGGGGGCTTATATTCCGAACTAAACATTGCGTGCGGCTTCCAGCGGTGCCCTACTTGCGGCTGCCTCAGCGGACTTGGGCAAACAAGTGGTCCGCGATCGTCGCAATCGGGCTAGTCTTGTGCTTGCGTCTTGCTCGTCGCCCGCTTTTCCGCTGGATGCTCATTCTTAGTACGTTGTTACCGTGCTCTCCTTCAGAGCTGCTGGACTCCCTTGGGCCCGCATCTGACGGCCTTGCAGTTACATCGCATCTCCTCGCTGCTGTCACCGCCGGTCTCCCGCTCTCGCGCCAGCACCTGCCGTTCGGCGGCGCGAGGGGGGGAGCGAGAGAGGGCAGACCTTTCTTCTCAGAAGGCGGCGGGGCGTCTCAGGCCCCGTCAGAAGCCTTCCGCGGCTTCGGGGACGGCGCAGATAGGGGGCCAAATGCGAACCTTACCCCTACCCACCACGATTTCTGAGGGGGAGGGGGGGGGGGTAGGGTTCGCATGTGGCCCCCTAGCAGAAGAACTCCTAAGAAGGCTAGGGCCTTGTGAGCCTTCTGAGGAGGCCCGCCCCCTCTCTGCCCTCCCCCAGGGCGCGCCACCGAGCCGTGGCCGTCCCCGTCGGCAAGAGCCCGCCGTCACTGGGGAGCGCAGGTGGCAGGCGAAAGGGTGGAGAACCTGCGTGGTGCAACTCATGAGCTGCAGGCTATGAAAGGAGAACCTGCGTGTGGTGCAGGCCATGAGCTGCAAGAGCTATGCCGTGTCAAGAGTGTGCGATGCAGCCCACGCAGAGCGCAAGCGATGTGGGGTAAGCTATGTGCTGCAAGCTGTGTGGTGCAAAACTGCGCAGCGTAGCGCAGGCTGTGTGGGGCAAGCTATGTGCTGCAGGCTGTGTGGTGCAAAACTCGGCCGTGCCATCTACGCGGCGCAGGCTACAGGGTGCGCTCACACGGAGCGCCCCGCGGGCCGGGCAACGAAACAGCACCGCGGCCGACCACCCCCCACACCCGGCCAGCGCGCGGGGCGCCCGCGAGGCGCCCGCGGGCACGGGGCGGGCCTTTAGAGGCGAGACCTCGGCGATGCTCTCCCCCGGTGCGGGGTTTGCTCGGCATGCCCGCTGCGGCGCGGGGTGCGCCCCCCACCGGGCGGGCACCGCGCGGAGCCTCGGCACTCTCCCCCTAAGCGCGGGGCGCCCGCGAGGCGCCCACGGCCGGGCACCAGGCGAAGCTTCGGCATCCCCCCGCGGGCGCCCACGGGCGGGCACCGGCGGAGAACCCAGAAGATCAAGCCAAGGATTTTCATCACGGAAGTAGGAGCCCGTAAGTGCAGGCACTGTCTGGGAAGGGGTATGGAGCACCCAAGTGCTCGATTGCTTGATCGTGAGCCCTAACGCGTTGTATGGGAGGGGAGTGGTGCAAGCTAGATGGATCAAGTTGTGTCTTCGTTAGGTTTTGCCAACTACGTGCTGCAGGCTATTTGGTGCCAGCTAGGTGGTGCCAGCCAAGTGTTGCTAGCTATTTGGTTTAAGTTATGTGGAGCAAGAACTATATGCTTCAAGCTATGTGCTGCATGCAATGTGCTGCAATCGAAGTTCCGTCCAGCGCACCAGGCGCCCGCGGGCGGCGACCCTTCCAGAACCCGGAAACGCCAGCCAGCGCACGATGCCACCACGAGGCGCACATACGGGCGGTGACCGAGCGACAACCCGGAAGCTCCGGCCGGCGCCCGCGGCGCCCGCATGGCGCCAGAGGGCGGCGATGGGGTGAAGCCCGGAAGTGCTGGCCGGCGCACCCGGCGCCAGCGAGGCGTCCACGGGCGGCGGCCCAGCCGCAGCCCCAGGGATTCCTCAGGAGGAAAAGAAACACACAGACACAATTAATCTTCGATTTCCCAGAAAAGATAAGAAAATATGGGACGTGGGGGGGGAAGACAGAAGCCCAGAACATATGGGAAAATATGGGGGATCTTTTTATTTGTGTGTATTTATTTTTGTGTCCTTGGGCCCCTGAGATTCCGGCCGGCGCGCGCGGGACCTGCACGGCGCCCACGGGCGGCGACCGAAGGAGCACCCGGGGAACGGCAGCCAGCGCACGTGGGCCGCCCACCGGGCGCCCACACGGGGGGCGTCAGAGGCGCAGCAAGAGCCCCCAAGGGCAAGCATTCTAGGAGGAGAAGGAAGGCAGGAGGAGGAGGAGGAGGAGGAGGAGGAGGAGGAGGAGGAGGAGGAGGAGGAGGAGGAGGAGGAGGAGGAGGAGGAGGAGGGAGGAGGAGGAGGAGGAGGAGGAGGAGGGAGGAGGTGGGATCCAGCAGCGAATAGCACGTGCTTCTGGAGAGCCTTCCTGCTCCACATCCCTTGCCGGCTGTTGTCTCCGAGTCCGTTGGTCTGCTCGGATCCGCACCTTCTGAGCGGGGTTCTTGCTTTCTCAGGGCATCCTCTCCCTCTTTTCTCCTTCCTCTCTTCTCCATCTCCTCTTCCTTCTTCTTCTCCTCCACTCCAGATCCGTGCCCTTCCCATTCCGCCAGTCCCACCAGTGCCATCCCACTCTCCACTCCAGAGACCATCCTCCCCTCCGCCTCCTCTTGCTTTCCTCCTCCTCCTCCTCCTCCTCCTCCTGCTGCTCCTTCTCTTCTCCGCTTTCCACTCCACCAGCCACAGCAGCGTCGCGTGTCCCTCTCCAGGGAGGCCGCGTCGGACCGCGCGGGCCATGCGCACGCCCTGTTGTTTAGTTCAGGGTTCGTACCCTTCCCACAACACCAGCCCCACGATGAGCCCCACCAGCGCCTCCTTTGCCCCCTCCAGGGAGGCCGCGTCAGACCACCCGGGCTATGCTCATACCTTGTTATTTCTCAGAGTTCGGGCCTTCAATTCCGCAAGTGGTATGATTTACTTGGGTTTGTGGCCTGCCCACTCCATCAGCCTCACCCGCGCCACGTTTCTGAATCTCCTTCTGGGGCGGCCGCGTCAGGCCGCGTCGGACCGAGCGGGCTATTCGCATACCATGTTATTTGTAGGGTTCGTGCCCTCCCCGCTCCACTAGCTCCACCAGTCCACCAGAGGGAGGAGAGGGAGGAGGAGCAGGTGGAGGAGGAGGAGGAGGAGGAGGAGGAAGAGGAAGAGGGGGAGGAGTAGGACGAGAAGAGCGAATCATGAAGAGAAGCGGAGCGTCCCAACGGTGAATATCGTAGTCTGGAGCCGGAGGAAGTGAGTGCCTCCCAGAGGTGCGTTGAGAGGCTCGACGTGGAATGGTATGGGGGACTTGGTAAAGAGATTGCCAGGCGTTGACATCTTTCTTCTAATACTTCCAGGTCCTTGCTTAGGCTGTGGCCCCTTTGAGCACCCGACCCGCTTAACATTATACGGCGGGGAACTCCGATGTTATGTGTTTTGATTATTCTGCCAAATTCCTCATATTCGGTGTTGCAGTCGGTCTCCAGTTTCGGGGGGAGAGTACAGCAATGAAACATGCGGAATGGTAGGAAAATGCGGAGACGGGAGTTGTGGAGGCTGTGGCGGAGTAATGGAGGAGTATCAGTGAAGTGGAGGGCCGAGGAGGAGGGTCGAGTCGGGCGACGGAATAGACAAATCCACTGCTTCCTGGCTGGGCCCTTCCTGGGCCCTGGAGTTCTGTGTACGCCCTCCCGACCAAGCCAGGGGGGCGTGGCGTACATACCACCGCTGGGCTGAGGATGGGCCCGGCCAGGGAGCAGTGGAGATGTATACTCCAGATTTCGTAATAAAGGGAGGGGGGTCTCATTTCGGGGGGGGTCTCTTCCAGGCTATCTTGGAGGGCCTGGGGGGTCTGGGGACGATGTTTTGGAGGGTTCTCCCACGGGGGAGGTCTGAAATGGCTTGTCTTGGAGGGTCCAGACCCCCTCCCTTTTATTGCGAAATCTGGAGTACTCTCTTGTCTGCCCCGTGGTCCTCCTGCCATCGGCGTCACCCCAGCATACTAGTACTATGTGTGCGTCGCCCCCCCCCCCCCCCCCCAGGGGCGAACGGCGCGCCGAGAGATCTTCTAGCGGAAGCTCAACGGCGGGCGCTGTCTGGCCATAGCGTTCGGGAAACGATTCTCTGGTCGGGTCGGACGCGCGCCTCCGAGGAGGACGTACAGCACTGGTGCGTCCACGTGCGGCCCATGCTGGTCCTCCCCTCCCCCCTGCCGAGCCAACTCTTCCCGTGGGCACTTCTGTGGTTGCCGCATCCCTGCGCTGCCCAGCGAGCACAGTCAGTTCTCCAGGGACGTGGGTCTGCTGGGCCGCCAGGATGGCATGCCTACAGCAGCAGCGCCCCAGCAGACTACCTCCTGCATGTCGGCGGCCGAGCCCGGGGGGGAGTGAGAGGGGCTGAGCCTTGGCAGAAAGCTCGGGCGTCTCCCGGCCTTCCTTTGAAGTTTTCGAAGCCCCCCGACGACACGGAAACCTGTCCGAGGGCCAGAGGGCCTCTGAGAAGCCCCGTCGCTCTCTGAGGGGTCCCATCTCCTTCTCGCTCCCCCCCTCGAGCTCCGCCGATCCTTCCCGTCCCTCCTCCCCCCGCTTGCGGGAAAGTGCGGCGGAACAGGAGGACAAGGGATGTCCTCGTCGTCGTCGCCGTCGGCCCCGAGGCGGTGGCGGGGCCTCTCCCTGGTCCCAACGATGTGGTCGACCATCGGGTTCGCCACGTTCCGCGGGCTCCTCGACACGAGGAGCGTCGAAGCTCCCCTGGGATGAAGGGGCGCGTCGTCGTCGTGGCCGAAGGAGGACTTGGCGGGGGAGGGGGAGGATCCCGAGGACGACAGCGAAGGTCAGGAGGAGAGGGGATCAGGATGATGAGGACGAGGAGGGTGATGGCGATGACGATGACGATGACGTTGACGATGGCGATGACGATGATGATGATGATGATGATGATGATGATGATGATGATGATGATGATGATGATGATGATGATGAGGATGAGGATGATGATGATGATGATGATGATGATGATGAGGATGATGATGATGATGACGATGATGATGCTGTTGATGATGATGGCGAGGATGGCGATGCTGATGATGATGATGCTGATGACGATTTTGATGATGATGAGGACAATGATGATGCTGATGATAGTAATGCTGCTGATGGTGATGATGCTGATGATGATGGTGCTGATGGTGGTGATGACGATGACGATTATTATTATGATGATGATGGTGGCGATGATGTTGATAATGGCGAGGCTGATGCTGATCCGGATATTGCTGCTGATGATACTGATGTTGGTGGTTGTGATGTTGCTGCTAAGGACGGTAGTGATGGTGATCATGTTGACGACGATGATGCTGATGCCGACCAATACGATAAGGACAATGAGTTCGATGGTGACGGTGGTGGTGATGATGCTAATGATGGTTGTGATTGTGATGCTAATGTCGCTGATGATGGCGATGACGATGCTGATGCTGCTACTGATGATGCTGATGATGATGATGCCTTCGATTATGAATCTGATGAGGATCATGGTGATGCCGAGGGTGATGGTGATGATGATGCTGCTGAGGATGCTGATGCTGCTGATGAGGAGGATGCTGATGCTGATGCTGATGCTAATGCTGATGCTGATGATGGTGATGGCGATGGTGATGCTGGTGGTGATGATGATGCTGATTGTAGCGGGGATGGTGGTGATGGTGTCGGTGGTGCTGCTGAGGATGCTGATGATTATGATGATGAGCCTGCTGTCTGTAATGGTAACGATGCCGATTAGGATGCTGCTGCTGCTGATGCGGATGAGGATTATAATGATGCTGCTGTTGCTGATGATGATGATGCTGATGATGCCTATGCTCATGACGACGACGACGACGACGACGACGACGACGACGACGACGACGACGACGACGATGATGATGATGATGATGATGATGATGATGATGATGATGATGATGATGATGATGATGATGATGATGATGATGATGATGATGCTGCTGCTGCTGCTGCTGCTGCTGATGATGCTAATGCTGCTGATGATAATGATGCTTCTGAGGAGGATGATGATGATGATGAAGAGGAGGAGGAGGAGGAGGAGGAGGAGGAGGAGGAGGAGGAGGAGGGAGAATGGTGGAGGAGAGAATGCACATCGGTTCTTGGGTGTTGTTGCAATGGGGCCCGTCGCCATGGCCGGCTCTGCCTCAAATCCAGGTCATCACGTGCTGTATGTCCTGGGTGGTACTTGGAGGAAGGAGTAGGAGAGGAGGAGGTGGAGGAGGAGGAGGAGGATCGGGTGGGGATTATCGTCGCCACGTTCAGGCCTGACTCACAATTATTGTCAGAATATTCTCCGAGACAGATCCCACGGTCGATTCGGGGAGAGGAGGACGGGGAGATGGAGGAGGAGGGAAGGGACGGAAATGGAGGGAGGGAGGGAGGGAGGGAAGGGAAGATAAAGGAAGGGAAGGATGGGGCGAGGGAGGGAGGGACGGGAAGGGAGGGAGGGCGAGGAGGAGGGAGGGAGACGAGGAAAAGGAGTAGAGAGGAAGGGAGGGGAAGGGAATGGAAGGGAAGGGAGGGAGGGAGGAGCAGCCCCTTCTACACATGGCCTCACGCCTCACGACTCACGACTGCCCCCCCTGTGCGCCGACAGCACGTTTGCGATAGCTGGCGAGTCTCCCCTCTGAATGCATCGGCGTCGAGGCCAGCGGGGGAAGTGAGAAGGAGGAGGCCTTCTCCGAAGGCGGCGGGGCTTCGCAGAAGCCCCGCCGCCCTGTGCGAGGTGTTCTGTGTCTTCGGGGGAGGCTCAGACCACTTCTCAGAAGGCTCAGAGGACTTTTGAGCCCTCTGAGAAGGCCCGCCCTTTTTTTCTCACTTCTGCCCCGGGCTCGTCGGCCCCGGGCTCGTCGCCGAGTGAAAGGCCCGTCCTCGTGCCTCACGCGCGGAGACGGCGCGTCGTGCCAGGAGTGCGAGGCCCAATCGCCGACCTCTCAGCGCGACGTCGACGGCTTCAGAAGCAATACTGCTATCGCTCGTCGTGCTCCCACCATAGAGGACAAGGATTCTGAAGGAAAAAAGGGGTCATGAGTTGTTCCCCCCTCTTTTTGTCGCCTCCTCTGGCCATTCGGGGCCCCGAGACAGTCAAACACCACTGGAGATAGAAGCTGGTCCTGGGGAAGCCCCTGGGTTCTAGGACCCAGTTCCCTCTCTTCGCGCTGATGCTTTTTCGGCCTCCTCGACATCCTTGTGTGATCCATACTTCAGCCACCGAGTAGTGCGGATCATCCTAAGGACTCTGAATTGTGGCAGCGCCGTCGCTGGGAGACCCTTTCTGTCCTACTCCGTCCCTTTTCGTTTTTCTTCTCTCTATCATTTGTCCTCATTCCCTGCACCCTCCTCCCCATCGCCTTCCACCTGACCGCTGGCATTTGCGCTCTCAGTTTGGTCGCCTATTCATCTTCCCTTGGCTCGGGGCGTCATCCAGGACGCCGCTCAAGGTGACCCTGTTGGCCAACGCGCTCAACGTGCTGCTGGACCCCATCTTGATGTTTGGAGTAGGCCACGGCCTCGTTGGGCGCTGGGCAGTGCCAAGGAGCTTGGCTGGCGCCGATTTGTCCCACGAGTAATTGGTTGCTCGTCGTGTTAGCGAGGGCCGCGAGAGGCTGCATTCGAAATTCCTGTCACCACCTCGGATGGGCTCGTGGCCTGCTTTCCGAGCCGGCCCAGGTTCTTCTCCAGAGCCTTCGGGCTCGTCCCGGTGGAGCAGCGAAGCCCGGGTTGCCCCGTCTATCTGTCTCTCCCGACTGCCACCTCTCTGGATGCCCTCGCGCCCCGCCTGCAGTTAAACCTGATACTAAAGAGGATCGACTTCCCAGAGGTACCCTTGCATCCTTGCCTCTTCGGTCATCTTCGGTACATCCTCAACCACTTTCGATGGCCAGCCCCGCTCGGAGAGCCTCGGCATGGGCGCCCAAGGCGCTTGCACCCTTACCGCGCATCCTTGCTATACAAGGCGCTCTAAAAAGGACCTTGCCCTCGAGGACCGAAGCAGTTGCCATCTCTTCCGCGGCGGCAGGTGGCGGAAGTAAAACGAGGCCGCCTCCGCCGGCGGAAGCCAGCGGACGGCTGGCGGAAGGCGGCGTAAGGCGGCGGAAGTAAGAGAGATGGCGCGGCTTCTCAGAAGCCTTCGCGCCTTCTGAAAGTCCCCCCGCCTTCTCAGAAGGCCCGCCCTTTTCTCGCTTCTCCCCGGGCTCGCCCGCCCCCCTCTCTCACGCCGCTCGCCCCCCCCCCCCCCCCGTCCTTCGGTTCCGACGGCCGCCGCTCACGATCCGCTTCGGCGTCGGCTGCCGAGCTGTCCCCCGATGCCTCAGTGGACTTGTGGAGGACGATCAATGGAGAGGAAGCGTGTTGCCTGATTTTTTCCAGATGTCTAGAACATGGGTTAAAACTGTTTTAAACATGTAAAAACATTTTTGCAAAAAGGTTTAGAATCAACAAACATTTCCGTACACATAAAAATACATTCTTACTTCGATGGTAGGACTGTTAGGGTGTCCGCTGCCGTGGCATCCACCACAGTGGCGGCCCCTCCGAGCCCCTCGGCCCCTGCCCCCGCGGCCGCCCGGAGGCCCCCGAGGGGCCCGCCCGCGCCGCCGCCCCGCCGCCCCCCGAGGAGGCCGCCCCCCCCCGGGGGGCAGCCCGCCCGGGCCACGCCCCTCCGCGCGCCCTCCGCGCCTCCTCCCCCTGCTCCGCCGCCGCCTCCTCGTGTTGAGGCGGGCCTGTCCCTCTCCAGGAGGAGCATTCACAAGTAATGAAAAATAGTCAGGGGACGATTTGCTGGACCATTTTTGCATAGTCTCGGGTATGTTTTGACTCTGTTTCCCCTGCCCCCCCTGCTCCCCCTGCTCCGCCGCCGCCTCCTCGTCTTAAGGCGGGCCTGTCCCTCTCCAGGAGGAGTACTCCAAAGTAGTCAAGACCTTTTTTGTTCCAAAAATATGTAATGTTTGGGCAGTTTGGGTCTTCCTCGCGCTGTGACCGTGCCCTGTCTAGCGCCATTTGGGCCGAGACGTTACCTGTCTGTACAGCCTGGTCGATGCACATTGAGTTGTGCGCAGGTGGGTCCGCAGTCTGTGCTGGGAGCTGGTGGTGGTTCGGGAGAACAAATAATAATAACTTTGGGTATTTTCTGACCATGTTTTATTTTTCGTCCAAAATCCCCCTGTAGGGGGACAGGCCCGACTCAATCCTCGTCCACATGTGCCACAAGCCCTGGCCCACTCTCCCGCCGCAGGGGCGTGCCACCCAGGCGCAGGCTCATCAGGCTCGCGGTGCTGCGCGGGCTGCCCCCCTAACAGTACAACCAGGCCGCGCTCCTCGAGGCTCTGTGCGCTCCTCCTCCGCCCCCCCTTCTCCCCGCCTTGCTTCTGCCTCCTCCTCCTCCTCCTCCTCCTCCTCCTCCTCCTCCTCCTCCTCCTCCTCCTCCTCCCCCTGCCTCCTCCTCCTCCTCCTCCCCCTCCTCCTCCTCCTCCTCCTCCTCCTGGCTCCTGGTCCTTTATGGCATGTGGGCTCGTCGAACGCTGCCGCGCCCCGCCCTCCCCACACCAGCGGCGGTCGCCCCTGGGACGGGGGTCAGACGGAGGTGTGCCAGGTCACCCTGGGGGCGTACGCCCCTGGGGTCCCGGCATTTGTAGCTGTAAAAGGGGACGATGCGCAGTAAAAGAGGGGAGCGAGAGGGGGGGGGATACATTTTTGATCTGCTGGGCGAGAGCGAGCCTCTTCCGCTAAAAGCTCCGCGGGACGCGCACAGCTTTAATTGACAGAGAGGGGGCGCGGGCAGGCGGGGCCTCACGCGGCCGAGAGCGGGCGGAGCCCGGGGATCAGGCGGTGCCGAACGGGACGTGCAGGAAAAGGTACACCTTGGACAGGAGCCCGGTGTTGAAGTCCCGGGAGGAAAAAGAGTCGGTGGCGTAGCCGTCAGCGGCGCTTCGCGAACACCAGCCTCACGTGCTGCGGGAGAGGAGGGGGGGATACATGCACATAAGACATCAGGAGGGAGGGGAAGAGAGACCGAACGGCTGGTGGCGGCTGCGGGTAGGACTGGCGGCATGGCAAATGTGTCCTCCTTCGTCTCCTCCTTCTCCTTGGACCCTCCTCCTCTCCTTGTCCCCGCTGAGGTCTTGGCGCCGCGGGCGCCGCGGCCGCGACGTCGGCGTCGGAGGCTTCCGGGCGGGGGGGAGGGGGGGGAGGCCCCGGCGTCGCAATTTGCTCGGGCCGGGCGTTTCCGCGCGATTTCGGGTCCCAGGGACCTCACAGATCAGGCCCGTTCGAAAAGTGCAGCTGGAAGACGGGATCCGGAGCTCTTGCGGTGATTTTTCACGGCTTCACATTTTTTCGCGCCGTCGGATCTCAGGGGAGGCGTTTTGTTGAACATTATTACTTCTAAAGAATAATTATTGTTGGGACCCCTGCAGGGCCCCCTCGCCGCGCCTAGGCCGCAGCCATGTTTTCATCACTTTCGTGAGGAAGTCTCCGGCAAAACGGGTTTGTCCGGATCTGGTTGTTTTGTTACGGGCGGTTTTCCCTTGCAAAAAATAAGGCAAAGTGGACATTTCTTGTTCTAACATAACCAAACTTCAAGAATCCCTTGCAAAAAATAAGGTACAGTGGACATTCGCGCGCGCAAGACGAAATCCTTCCAAAACCTTAGTGTTCGTAGCGATTTTAACATAAAAACATCAAACAACCAATGGTTTTTCAAAAAAAAAGTGTCAAAATTTCATCCCGCGCGCTCTTGCGGATTTGTAGGAAACCCAACACTTTTTAAACATTTCTGTCAAACGGGCTTTTGCGAGCAACTTTTTCACGTGCTTCGAACTTCTCCAACAACGGTTGCGCACCTGCCAGGGCCATCATCCCTGTCAAATAATACCATGCGGGACACATTCGTTTTTTCTTCGCGCGCGCACGCCGAAATCTTCAAAAACCATTGGGTTTCTTAGGAATTTTAGCACCGCGCAACATAAAATCATACGAATCGCACCGTGGTTTCCTATTCTAGCGTCAGGAACACGTTACCACCAAAAACCAGTACAGGTGTCCAGTGTTGGAACAGGGGGAAAAGTCGTATACTAAGCTAGCGTCCAGAAAATGTTACCACAACAAGTCACTGTACCCATGCGCCAGTGTAGTAGCCACGGTCGTCCGCAGGCCACGAAGTGAAGTGTCCGAACGTCATAGGGCGGGAAGCTGGGTGTGGGTGGTGGCGAAGAGTCGTTTGGAAATGTGGTAGAGCTTGAACCGGCCCCCCCACAAAGTGGGGGTATTGGCGGGCGTCGTATGAAAACCCTGGCACTGGTGAGAACGGAGTGTCCCCACGTGCTAGTAATTGTTGTTGTGGTTGTTGTTGTTGTTGTTGTCGTTGTTGTTGGTGTTGTTGTTGTTGTTGTGGTTGTTGTTGTTGTTGTTGTTTTTGTGGTTGTGGTGGTTGCTGTTGTTGTTGTTGTTGTTGTTGTTGTTGTTGTTGTGTTTGGTGTTGTGGTTGTGGTTTCTGTGGTTATGGTTGTGGTTGTGGTTGTGGTTGTGGTTGTGGTTGTGGTTGTTGTTGTTGTTGCTGCTGTTGTTGTTGTTGTTGCTGTTGTTGTTGTTGTTGTATATATATATATACAAGACTGCAGTGGCGCTTCGCGCCATGCACCTTGGTCCTTGAAGTTTGGCATGCAGGCGGAATAGCAGGAAGGTCAAGCCGACAATTTAGCGATAACTCCTGGTTGCCTTTTCCAGCATCGCCGCTATAACATGTTATTCGTTTTCCTTCCTCCATGTTTCTTTTTACCTAACAGCGAAGACTGATAGGTTTCTAGTTGACTCAAAAGAGCTCACAGATCACTCCACAGGGGGGTCCGGGCAGGTGTTGGGGAGTTGCCGGGCGGCAGGGTGCCGGGCTCGTTTTTCACCAACAGTCACACACTTCGTGCTCTTCGACTTCCCAGAACTCCATTCCCAGGCCACATTCCCGGATGCAACAGTCACACACTTCGTGCTCTTCGAGTCCCAGAACGCCATTCCCGGGCCACATTCTGGAGGGCCGGATGCAACAGTCACACACTTCGTGCTCTTCGATTCCCAGAACTCCATTCCCGGGCCACATTTTGGATGCCCGGAGCCAACTGTAGGCCACTTCGTGCTCTTCGAGTTCCCAGAACTCCATTCCCGGGCCACATTTTGGATGCCCGGAGCCAACTGTAGGCCACTTCGTGGTCTTCGAGTTCCCAGAACTCCATTCCCGGGCCACATTTTGAATGCCCGGAGCCAACTGTAGGCCACTTCGTGCTCTTCGAGTTCCCAGAACTCCATTCCCGGGCCACATTTTGAATGCCCGGAGCCAACTGTAGGCCACTTCGTGCTCTTCGAGTTCCCAGAACTCCATTCCCGGGCCACATTTTGAATGCCCGTAGCCAACTGTAGGCAACTTCGTGCTCTTCGACTTCCCAGAACTCCCATTCCTGGGCCACATTTTCAGCAGGGGCAAGAGCACGACGAGGAGGAGGACGAGCAAGACCAGGAGGACGAGGACGAGCAGGAGCAGGACGAGGAGCAGGAGGAGCAGGAGAAGAAGGACGAGCAGGAGGAGGAGGAGGACGAGCAGGAGGAGGAGGACGACCAGGAGGAGGAGGACGACCAGGAAGAGGAGGAGGAGGAGGAGGAGGGGAGGGGGAGGACTACCGAGGAGGAGGAGGAGGAGGAGGAGGAGGAGGAGGAGGAAGAGGAGGAGGAGGAGGAGGAGGAGGAGGAGGAGGAGGAGGAGGAGGAGGACGAGGAGGAGGAGGAGGAGGAGGGGGGGGGAGAGCTGCCTTTTCGTCGAGATGCTGTTCGACCCAGAGATGCTCCTACACATGGCTGTTAGGTTGCTTTGCCGGGATAATTCTTTATTTTCGCCATACCCTGCGCATTCTCCCCATCCTCCTCAGCTCTTTTTTGCGGAGGCTCCTCCTTGGAGAGCCTCTAGGGGCCTCACAAAAGTTGTTTCAGGCTTTCGTAAGGCCTTCTGGAGGCCTCCTGGGCGTATTCGGGGGGCCTCCCGGGGCTTCCTCGGGCCACCCTGCCTTCAACCGCGGTCTCCTTGAACGACTGAATCACGATTTGGAATTCTTCGGAGGTTGTCTTTGGGCCATCTTGGGCCGCCATCGGGCTCTCTGAGGGCCATCTTGGACCCGTGTTGTGCCGTTTTGGGGCAAGCCCTTTCGGATGGTTGTGGGGCGATTTGGGAGCCTCCCAGGCGGCTTCGGACGCCCAGAAGACCGTCGTCTTGGAACGTCGGGAAGCCGAAAAGAGGAGAACCCCAAAATTCACCAAACACCCACAGAAACCAATGATTTTTGCCTCGGGGGGCCTTCTTGGGAGTGCTCTTGGAGGCCTCTTTGGGGCCGTCCTGGAGGCCTCTTGGGCCATCTTGAGGTCACGTCGGTCACTCTTGGAGCGCTCTTGTGCTGTCTTGGGGGTCTCTGGGACGTCTCCGATGACCCCCCTGATCGCCCTAGATGTGCTGGGAAGGCTTGGCAAAACGCCCTGCGAGGCCCGGTGGCCGCTCCGAGGCCCGTCCGGAGGGTCCCAAAGCCCGGGCCCAGATCCCGGGAGTCCGGTTTTGGGGGGGGACGGGTTTTCCCCCCGCCCGGGCTTGTAAAAATATAGGAAGAGGAATACATATATATATATAGAGAGAGAGAGAGAGAGAGAGAGAGAGAGAGAGAGAGGGAGAAAGGGAGAGGTCGATCGACGGCGCCTTGAGGAGACGGCAGGTGACAGCACCGTCGTCGTCGTCGTCGTCGTCGTCGTCGTCGTCGTCGGCGTCGGCGTCGGCGTCGGCGTCGGCGTCGGCGTCGGCGTCGTCGTCGTCGTCGTCGTCGTCGTCCTCGTGGTCAACGCCTCCGAGAGAGGCCCAGCCCTGTGACTCACTCGAAGCTTGGCTCACCCGAAGTTTAGCTCATCCGCGCCTAACTCATCCCGATCCCTAGCTCACCCGGTCTAACTCGCCCGATCCTTAACTCACCTGGTGTAACTCACCCGATCTTTGATTCACCTGGCCTAACTCATCTGGCGCCTACCTCACCTGGCGCTGAATTCACCCGCCGCCTAACTCACCAGGTGCCTGACTCACCCGACGCCCCACCCACCCGTGCCTGACTCACCTGGCGCCTAACTCACTTGGCCCCTGACCCACCCAGCGCCTGACTCACCCAGTGCCAAATTCATCCGGTGCCAAACTCACCTGGCGCCGAACTCATCTGGCGCCTAATTCACCTGGCGCCTAATTCACCTGGCGCCTAACTCACCTGGCGCCTGACTCACCCGGCGCTTCTCTCACCTGGCGCCTGACACACCCGGCGCCTACCTCACCCGGCGCCTACCCCGCAACTCGCCCAGCTCCCAACCCACCCGGTGCCGGTGCCGGTGCCGAACTCACTCGGCGCCCTTGATTCACTTGGTGCCTAACTCACCGGGCGCTTAACTCACCCGTTGCGTGTCCGTCCTCGGCCCCCCCCCCCTGTCCTGGTCACCGTCTTCCTCTCCATCCTCAGCGTGCTCAGACGACTCCAAGACCATGCCGGGGATGAAACGCCCGCGCCGACATTGGAAGAGAAGGCGCTGCAAAGTGCTGTTGCTTTTGAGAGCACCCCAACCCCACGCTTAACAAGAAACAGCTCGCTGGCACAGGGAAGAGGCGCGCTGCAAAACGCCACTGATTTGAGACGACCCCAGACGTCGCAAGGACCACGCTGAAGAGAACAAGCCGCCCAAACAGACTCGCTACAAAACGCCTCTGTCTTTTATAACAACCGAACCCACGCTGGAAGAGGAACGGCCGCAGTGGCACAGGCAGGAGACGCGCTACAAAATGCCGCTGTTTGTGATTCGGCACGCCGACAGAGGCAGAGGACTCGCTACAAAATGAGGCTGTTTTCAAAAACAACGAACCCACACTTACCTATGTAACCAACCTTCTGGTGATAAGGAGGTTGTCGGGGGTGAGAGGGGGGGGAACCAACATCTGACTCACTCGATCTCACTCGATCTCACTCAACGGGACACCACGGGACACCACGGGACACTTGTCGATCTCACTAGCGATCTCACCATCGATCTCACTCAACGGGACACCACGTGACATCACGGGCCACCACGGGACACCACGGGACACCGCGGGACACCTCTCGATCTCAGTATCGATCTCACTATCGATCCCACTATCGATCTCACTCAACGGGACACCACGGGACACCACGGGACATCTGTCGATCTCACTATCGATCTCACTATCGTTCTCACTTTTTGGGGCACCACGGAACACCTCGGGGCACCACATCGATCTCACTATCGATCCCACTATCGATCTCACTCAACGGGACACTACGGGACACCACGGGACACCACGGGACACCTGTCGATCTCGTTATCGATTTTACTATCGATCTCATTTTTTGGGGACACCACCGGACACCTCGGGGCACCACATCGATCTCAGTATCGATTTCACTATCGATCTGTCTGTCGATCTCAGTATCGATGTCCCAATCGATCTCACTATCGATCTCACTCAACGGGGCACCACGGTACACTACGGGACACCACGGAACACCACGGGACACCGCGGGACACCGCGAGCCGCCGCCGGACGGACGGATGGACGGGCGGGCGGGGGGAGAATCATTTGTCTTGACATCGCCCTAGCAACGGTGGACACCACGGGACACCGCGAGCCACCGCCGGACGGACGGACAGACGGGGGAGAACCATTTGTCTTGACTTCGCCCTAGCAACGGCGGACACCACGGGACACCACGGGACACCGCGGGCCACCGCCGAACGGACGGACGGACGGGGGAGAATCAGTTGTCTTGGCTTCGCCCTAGCAGCGGCGGACACCACGGGACACCACGGGACACCACGGGACACCACGGGACACTGCGGGACACCGCTAGGGCCACCGCCGGACGGACGGAAGGACGCAGGATAATCATTTGTTTTGACTTCGTCCTAGCAGCGGCGGGTTCATTCCTCTCGCGCGCCCACGCAGCTTCTCCTCGACAGCATGCACGACATGAACGAAACGAAACGATTTCCCGGTTGGGGGTCTCAATTCCTTTGCGATCTCACCCCCAAACCTCCGATAATCTTTAGATCGGAACGGCTTGTTGTCATAGGCAAGAGACACCAACACACGCCGCTATTTTGGAGACGATCCCCCCGTATTGACCCTGTGAAACTCACCCAATACTAAAACCATCCGGCCTAACTCACCTGATACTTAGCTGACGCGGCTTGGCTCGTTCGCTGCTGAACTCACCCTGGGCCCCCCTTACTTGGAGAGTGTCTCACCAAGAGTCGGCTTCCCCCGGCAACCGCTCCCGCCCAATGCCACTCTTACCCGGTGCCAAACTCCCCAGGGGCGTCTTTGACCTGGTAGGGGCTCGCACCGCGCCTAACTCACCCGTTGATGAAGTCATCCGGTGCCTGGCTCATGCGGCGCACAATGCACGCGCGGGCTCCCCCGTGCTCCCAGACCCGCTGCTCGCCGAGCCCTTGACCTCTCGCCTCGGACTCCGCCCTGCCAGGCTGAGCGAGGACACAGTCCGTAGCTCTCCCCACACCTCGAGGTCGCGGTGTCGGCGGAGAGCTACGAACTGTGTCCTCGTGCAGCTTGGCAGGGCGGAGTCCGAGACGAGAGGTCAAGGGCTCTCCCCACACAATTCGTAGCTCTCCCCACACGATTCGTAGCTCTACCCGCACCTCGAGGTCGCCCTGTCGGGACGCGACCCCCGCTCCCGAGGTCGCGGTGGCAGCGGAGACAGCAGCATGGCCCGCGCAGCGCTCTCGGGTCCGCCCCTGCAGCGCGCGCCGCAGCCACACCACGCCGCCGCAGCCGCCGCGCGCGCGAGCAGCTGCTCGGCCACCATATGGCACTGCTGGTCCGCGGCCCCTGGACGGGCCTGCTGTGTGCCACGAGGCCTCGTCCCCGCCCACCTCGTCCTCCTCGCCCTCGTCCGCCTCCTGCTCCTCCTCCTCCTCCTCCTCCTGGTCCTCCTCGTCGCCCTCCTCCCGGGAGTCACCGGGCCGCTCGAAACAGACCCTCCCCGTTCTCCAGACACGACGAGCAGAAAAGAGAGGAGGGGAGGCAGGCAACAGTAGGAGAAAGGGCAGAGAAATAATCCCCAGAGGATCTCCGAAGGCATCGGAAAGCCGGGGGAGACCGCCGAGAGCTTAGGAGGGCCGCCGAAGACCGCCGAATGCCACGGAGAGTCCCCAAAGGCTTGCGAGGGTCGCCGAACAACGTCGCAGGGCTTACGAAAGCCGTCGCGGCACGCCGAGAGGCTCCGAGAGCCGCCGAAGTTGCCGAGTGCCTCGGAGAGAAGCCAAGGGCCTTCGAGAGTCGCGGGAACCGCGGAAAGCCGCCGAGGGCCTTCTCCCTCCTCCCCCTCCTCCCCCTCCTCCTGTCGTCCTCCTCCAGCTCCTCCTCCTCATCTTCCTCCTCCTCCTCCTCCTCCTCCTCCTCCCAGTTCTCCTCGTGGTCCTCCTCCGCGTCCCTGTCTTGGTTGTTCTCGTCGTCCTCCTCTTTCTTGGCAGTCCGCCTCCCTCCTCCTCCTTCTCCTCCTCCTCCTCCTCCTCCTCCTCCTCCTCCTCCTCATACTTAACATCACCACCGTCACCATCATCATCACCATCACCATCACCATCTTCACCATTATCATCATCTTCAACGACAACATCATCATCATCATCAGCAGCAGCAGCATAATCTTCATCATCAGCATCAACATCATCACCATCATCATATTCATCGTCATTACCATCATCATCAACATCATCACCACCATCATGCTCACTATCAGCATCATCATCACCAGCATCAACGTAGTTACCATCATCGTCACCACCATCATCACAATCATCATTATACTCGTCATCATCCTCGTCATCCTCCTCCTCCTCCTCCTCCTCCTCCTCCTCATCATCATCATCATCATCATCATCATCATCATCGTCATCGTCAACACCACCACCAAGTTCTTCGTCATCAGCGGCATCATGATCAGTATCAGCATCTTCATCATCATCAGCACCATCACCAATATCTTAATCATCAGCAGCAACATCATCATCACCAGTATCATCATCAACATCAGCATCTTAAACATCATCACCACCACAATCAGCATCTTCATCACCAACATCATCATCAACACTCTTCTTATCCTCATGCTCACTCTCATGCTAATGCTGATCCTCATCCTCATCCTCATCCTCATCCTCATCATCATCCTCATCTTCATCCTCATCACCCTACTCTTCCACGTCCTCCTACTCGTTCACGTCCTCCTCCGCCTCCTGCTCCTTGTTCTCGTCGTGATCCTCCTCCTCCTCCTCCTCCTCCTCCTCCTCCTCCTCCTCCTCCTCGTCCGCCGCCTCCTCCTCCCTCTCGTCAACAAATTCCAAGCTCGCGTCGTGACCATGAGCGTGTTAAGGCTCACGCGGTGCCCAACGCATCCGGCATTACAATTCACATGGCGCTTAAACCACCTGGCGCCTGACTCATCTGGTGCCTGACTCAACCAGTGCCTAACTCACCCGGCGCCTAACTCACCCGGTGCCTAACCCACTGCCCAACTCACCCAGTGCCAATCTCATTGGGCGCCTAAGTCACCCGTTGCCTACTTCAATCATTGCATTACTCATCCGGTGCCTAACTCACCTGGTGCCTAAATCACCCTGTTCCCAACGCACCCGTTGCGTAACTCACCCGCTGTCGAACTGACCCAAAGCCGATTTCACCATGTGCCTAACTCACACGGCGCCCATTTCACTGTGTGCCGAAACCACATTCAGTCGGTGCCACCCTCACCCGGCAGCTAACTCACCTGGCGCCTAACTCACCTGCCTACCTCATCCGGCGCCTAACTCACCTGGCTTGTATCTCACCCGGCGCCTAACCCACCCGCCTAACTCACCCAGTGCTTAACTCACCCAGCTTAACTCGCCTGGTCGCGATTCACCCAGGCCGCGAGACGGGTGAATCGGAGCGGCTGAGTCGCTATCGGATGAACCAGTCCGTGTCCATTCGAAATTTGCTGCGTGCAGCTAGTCTCAGCCCTGCCGCCGGGTGCCTTCCTCGATACAGTGGCGCCCCTCGCGCCAGGAGGCGCGGGGAGGCGCCAAGAACTCAGCTGCAGAAGCTGGTACTCGAACCCCTTTTTTCCAGACGCTGACGTCGTGTTTTTTTCATGGCGTTTCCCTCCAGAGGTCTGGATCCCCCCGGAGGACCGGTTCTTACTATCCCGAGCCCCTTCACGGCCCCGTGGCCCGGCAAGGGCCCCCGGAGGCCGAGTCTGTGGCAGCTCATGTTCGGTCGTGCCTCTCCCGTGTCCCTGGCGCCCGCACTGACAGCGTCGATCACTTGAGCCTGGCCTCGGCGCATCCCGAGACTCTTCACGTTCTGAGTGCGCTCCGGCCGTCCCGCGGCCCTCTTCGGTCTTCCCCTCCTGCCCTCCCCTTCTCCCCTGTGCCTGAGTCGCTTCCGACGCGCCCCGTCGATGGCCAACCGCCTGCTGGGTCCAGCTCGCCGCGGACCAGTTTCTGTGGCACTGCGTGCAGCGGCAGCGGCAGCGAAGGGATGAGTGAATCTTCCGCTCCCCCCCGCTCCCCAGCACGTGTGATCCCTGGACTCTTCGGCGCCGCGGCGCCGCCGCCTGGCCCCAGGCAGGGCCGTCCCGCGGGACGAGGAGGAGGGGGAGGAGGAGGAGGAGGAGGAGGAGGAGGAGGAGGAGGAGGAGGCGGAGGAGGAGGAGGAGGATACCTGGCGCAGTGCGCTGTGTCCAGTGCCCAGCGTCCAGCGCCCCCCCCGGCGTAGACAGCCCGGACGGGGGCGACGCCGGGCAGGTGCTCGGCGTGCTGCTCTTCCTCCTGCTGCTGCGGCGGCGAGGCGCCGCCCCCGCCGCCCGTGGGCGCTCGTGCGCGCGCGGGGGGGGGGGGCCTCGCGAAGCCGCCCCTCGCAGTCGACGTCTCGTCCCCAACTCAGGAGGGAAAAAAACACACAGACACGATGCATCGTCGATCCCCCAGAAACTATGGGAAAGTATGGGATGTGTGGGGGGGAAGACAGTCTCAAAAATATGGAAAATATGGGGAATCCTTTTCTAGTTGTGTGTATTTATTGAATCGCTTCGCTCATTCCGCCGGCCCGTGGGGCCTCTTGGGGGCCTCTTAGGGCCTCCAAGAGGCGTCTTGGGGGCCTCTTAGAGCCTCCGAGGGCTCGAAATGTTGTTTCGTGCTCCCCCTCTGGGGCCGCTCTTGGGGCGCTCTAGGGGCCCTCTTGGGCCATCTTGGAGGCCTCTTGGGCCGTCTTGGGGCCTTCTTGGGCCGTCTTGGGGCCCTCTTGGGGACCTCTTGGGCCGCTTGGGGCGGTCTTGGGGGCCTCTTGGGCCGTCTTGGGGCGTCGCGATGCCGAAAAGGTGGAAACGCCAACATCTCCCCAAAACCTAAGGAAAAGCAATGAATTTTGCCTCTTGGGGCCCTCTTGGGAGTGCTCTTGGAAGCCTCGTGGGGCGTCTGGGGGCTTTCTTGAGCGTCTTGGAGCGATCTTGTGGCATCTCGGACCCTTGGTGCACCATCTTGGGAGCCTCTTGGGCGCTCTTGGCTCTTCTTGGGTCTCTCTCTTGGCCCTTCTTGTGACTCTCGGGGACGTCTCGGGGCCCTGTTGGTGCGCTCCTGGAGCTGGGGGCTTCTCCCGGGAACTTGCCGGGGTACTTTTCGTCCAGGGACCCCCAGGGGCCGCCCCGCGCGCGCGAACTAGAAATATTGTGAACCAGTTGCCGGAGATCTTAGCACGCCTCTGGCCCGTTGGGCCGGCGAATTTGTGTGTCCCAGGGCCCCTTCACCAACCCCCAGGTTCCGCCCGAAAAGTTAGACCTCCCAGAAAGTGGAGGGACCTCGGGGATACACCTCCAGGGGGCCCAGCCGGACGCACCAACATCGAGGATGGCCGCCCCCTCCGTCGTATGTCCTCAAGCTTGGCTTCAGATTTCTGGCCCATGCGGAGGCCCAACAAATTCGGGAACCGGGGTCGCCATACCCCACGTTAGCCCCCCTCACGCGGGCCTTCTGGCGTACCTGGGGATGCCCCCCCCCCCCCTCCCCTCTCGCTTGTCCTCTCCCTTCCTCGCCCTTTCCTTCTGGGTGCGGCCGTGCGTTGTGCGTCATATGTGTGGCCGTCTGGGCCGCAGGGGTTCGCCGCACAGCGCTCCTGCCCTTTCTCCTCCCTGCCTCGTTCTTCTTTCGTGTGGTGGCGTTGTTTGTGGGAAACGGCGTGGCGACGGACGTTGGCCACGGCGTTCTTTTTATTCGAGGGACTCATGGACGTCAGTTGCGAGTGGAGTGTTTTCGTGACGAAAAAAACCAAGCTCGAGGATATCAAGGCCCCGCAAACGGTATGACGACCACACCGTATGATGAGTGAGTGGGGGGGATGGTGACCGCAGGGTTTTGGGAATTGGATTGTTCTCCGAGTTTGTCTCGGCCAGGGTCCCAAAATCCTGCGGTGACGGACCGCGCGGTGAGGTTGTTGGAGAGTCCGAGGTCAAGACACGACCTGTCACCGCACCACTTCGGGACCCCGAAGAAGAATCCAGGATCGAGGATTGTGGAGATCGAGGATCGTGGCGAGCCTTGGAGTACGATGTAGCATTGAGGATGAGCCGCCCTGTCTCTGGCGTCTTAGTTGGGTTGATGGGTTCGGCCTGCAGGTTGCGTTTCCCGAGGCTGTGATTTCATGGGTGCACGCGTGGTTTCCCTTTCTTAGAATTGGGGGTCCGATGGGCTGGCCAACGTCCCCAACAAACATTGATTATCTTACTAGGGGGCAACATGCCATCGGAAACAGACACAACCATCTAGCACCTCTTCTGGGAACGACACGCGCAGCTATGTCTATGTGCGTGTTTTTTTTTCGGGCGTGCGAGGTTGTTGGGCCCCTCCTTTTGGACTCCCTTAGGGCTCCTCAGTGGTTCCTGGACGCCTCGGGACCCCTGCCCTTCCAGGCGCCTCCCCTTGGCCCCTCCTTGTGACACCCTAGTGTGGGGTTCCAGCTTGGAGCCTAAGAGTAAGCAGGGAAGTAGGCCATTACATGGTGGCCTACGCGGCGCAACCTGTGGTGCAACACATCGTCGCCGAGTACGCGAGATGCTGATATGACGCATCCTCTTTGTGTGCGGTTACCAGCAAGGAGGAGTCGCCGCCCCGCGGGCAGGCGAGGACTTCGGCAGCCAGGAGGAGCCTCGACTGGACGAGGCTGACGAGCCGTCTCCTGGGCTCGCGGAGGGCGCTGGCCAAGTCGCGGCGCTGGAGCCGCAGGCCATTGCGCGGTCTGTTCGCGTCGGCCTGCGATCTGCGCCAGCACTGGAAGATGGCACGCCTGACCCAGGCGATCCCGTTGCCGAGTTGTCCAGCGTGGTGGTTAGGAGGGTGTGCCCCGACACCTTGCAGCCCGTTGGCTTGGAAAGCGCCAGGTGCCTGGCCTCTCGACCCAGCATTCTCGCCAATACCTTCCGTGAGAAAGTGTACGCCGTGGGCCACGCCGCCTTGATGATTGGTCAGAGGCATGCTGCTGCGATCGTGCCGAGGCTTCTCGCCGCCTGCAGGGCATCGCATGGCTCGGAGGATGCTGGTGGCCCTCGGCTGGATGCTGTCATTTTGTTGTTCAGCTGGAAATACGACGGCACAACAGGGTGCGAGTGACTACCCGAGCGGCCCAACATTACAGCACCGACACGATTGTAGAGAGGTGCGCTGGTACACGAGGGTTGTTTGTGACAATAGCTGGTTTAAGTGCTGTAGTTCGAAGGAGCTATGCCGATGTTATGTGTTTCTCCATGTCATTGTTCGCATTCTCACGCAAATCCGTGTACTAGAGTCGCCTACAGGAGACGTCATCAATGCTTTTTGGCGTCGGCAGCTCATCCAAGTATATAGTAGAGTTGTGAATGGATTCCCGCATCGGCAAGTTGACGCCATTGGGTGTGATGCAGCGGGGGGGAACTTGAATACTAAACTGTCCATGTCGGTGTAACACCCCCTCCGTGCTCAGATTTTAGTTCTTTGCCAGGCCCCAAAAAAGTTGCCGAGCAGGGATGCTTGACAATTCGCCCGACGGACTCCAACATGATTCGGTGTCAGTTGGGCTTGTCTGCTGAACCCCCCATCGCCGTGCGACACCGTGACCGACTCATCCACTAATAGCCGGTTGAAATCAGCGCGGGGCGTTGCTTTGTTGAGGCGGCGTCTCACAGGGGGATGGTGCTCGACCTCTACTGCAACGACACCACCGACGCCAATCTCCAGTTCAGGGCAGCTGCATGCAGGCGGTTGTACAATGGCGATATCAGGAATTCTGGTGTCATTGAGCACTATTGAACTGGATGCGGCCAGAGTCTTGGCCAAGGAATTTGTTTGATGCGGCGGTGCGGCGCGGCTGTGCTGTTCGGTTCCGTGAAATTTTCCTAACCGTGCGACTTGGACGAACAAGATGAAGAGCCACCGCTGCGTCGGCCCCCCAGCTTCAACGCGCGGGCCTCTCAAGGCAGCTTACCTTCGCGGCGCGCCAGAGCCTGCAAAGGCCAAGCGGCAGCGCGAGCAGGAGCTGCAGGCGCGAGCTCAGCGCGAGGGGCAGCCTGCTGCAGATCATGCAGGAGGCTTCGTGCCACCTGGACTCCAGCAAGTCCCCGTGGGTGACCCTGACGACGATGGAGATGGCGCTGACCGTGAGTGCGTGGAGAGAGGACTAGAGCGTCATGATCTTTGAAAGCAGGTCGTGGACGCTCAGCAGCAGAGTGGCAGACGACGTGCGCACCGCGAGTCGGATGGAGATCCAGACAGATGCTTACTTTTTGAAGCCGTTGGCCACGTCCGGGGTTGTCTTCGAAAGGTTGCAGCAGCGCAGTGCGTTACGAGGCGAGGCCCGAACGTATCAAGTTTGGTTGGCCCACGGGGATTTGGGCACCAGAGGTTTGTTCAGGAACGCGTGCGATGCGATCTTCGACTCTTCATCTTGGACACCTGTGCAAGATCGCTCAGAGCTGATCGCCTTGACAATGCATTGACCGTGCGCGAGGGCGGGGGACGGGGGCAACGGCATGCCACTTTGGTTTCAGGAAGAACCGTTCATGGTCCATGCGATTGTTCTATGACTTGAAGGACCCGGAGATTTTCAACGCCTTAAAACGCACAGAGCTGTACCTCCTCGACCCCTGCATCGAGAACTCCCCGAGCTTCCGCGCAGGTGCCGAGGGCTCGGCGGCGGCCATGGCCGAGTTCAAGGGCGCCGTCGCCCTGATCGACACGGGCGCGGCCGACGTGGAGCGTCTCCATTCGATCAATCAGCGGCGCGCACTTCAGAGTTTGGACGAACGTGGAGACTGTTGATGATGTGGGCGCGCATTGTGCTGCGCATTCTGCTGGAGATAGGGGGGGCCCGACTCGCCGCGTCACAACAGGGGCCCTGCTGGGGGCAGTTCCAGGGCGCCGAGGCCTCGAGGCCAGCTTGGGCGCGGAAGCCTTCGGCTCGGCTCTGAATGCGGCCCGCGCTTGCGCGCGTGAGCGGCTGCTGGCTCGACTAGGAGACGGCCGCCGCCTTGTCGACGCAGTTCAGGCAGCTGGGTGCAACGGAGCTTGAGCAGCACCGCCAACTTGCTGCAATCGCAAGAGATCGGCGTCGCGATGGAGAGCGTGCTTTCGAGAAGGAGCCACGGGCGACCACAGTTCCAGCTGTCAGCCGCGGGGCGCCTACACTTGGGCCCCTGTCGCCGCAGCAGGAGCGACCTAGACGCGGTGATGTTCCAGCCGTGGGCCGCCGAGAGCAGTCTCCATTCGCAGATGTGCCCTCGCCGATTTTGGAAGCGGCGTTCGCGGCAAGAAGTCGCGCCCTTCTCC